AGATGTGCCAGCTGCTCTTGTGGGCCAGTGCAACAGGCATGGCTCCTGCTCCACAAGCATCTCAAATACCTGCAGAACTTGCAACAGCATTTTAAACCAAAGCTTTCAAAAGGCTGAGAGCCGGGCTGGGTCAGCTGGAAAAGAGAAGGCTCCTGAAGGGGAGACCCTAGATCAGCTCCAGTGCCTAAAGGGGCCCCAGGAAACCTGGAGAGGGGCTTGGACAAGGGATGTAGGGACAGGACAAGGGGAATGGCTTTAACCTGCCAGAGGGGAGACTGAGATGAGCTCTGAGGCAGAAGCTCTTCCCTGTGAGGGTGCTGAGGCGCTGACACAGGGTGCCCAGGGAAGCTGTATCTGCCCCATCCCTGGCAGTGTCCAAGGCCAAGTTGGACACAGGGGCTTGGAGCAACCTGCTCCCCTCCAGCCCAAACCATTCTATGACAATGTTCTATGAAAAAAATGAGTATTTTACACATTCCCTAAACCATTCAAAGGAACCCTGACTGTCATTCCCAGCCCTTTTTATCTGCCCGTCCCAACAGTTTCTCCAGACAGATTTCCTGACTCATCTTGCAAATAAGGCACTGAAGTTTTTCCCCTAAAAACAAGGATACGGATGAATGAAAATTCAAAGTGGCAAAACTGTCTTAGGCACCTGAGGTGGCTTCATCTTCCTGCATGCCCAGGCAGGGAGCAATGGCCCCTGAAGTGCTGCACTACCTCATTTGAACCACGACAGTAACTGTTAATTAAGACTCATCCAAAAGGAAAACTAGTAATAATAAGAAATGCTAACATATACTTAAATCATTTTTGATGCTTTCAACCTTGTCTGTAGTTAATGAACAAGAAAATCTGGTCTCAGGGCAAGTTAAAACAGGGACTAATTTGTCTGGGTGACATCTTACTTGGAATAGAATTTCCTTAAACTGGATATGTTTGTCACTATAATGACATGTTCCCATGTAAAAGTGTGTTATGAGAAGTCAGAACAATGCTATTAGTAAAGAGAGATTTATACAGTATTAGCATATGATTGTTTTGTCTACTCCATGTAGTAGTATGCAAGGTTAACTGATGGTATTTTCTTACCATATGAGGAGAAATGGAGTTGCCTGCTCTGATTTCCCCATCAAAAATGGCCACAACCTCTGAGATCCACTCTCACACACTGAGTTTGCACCCTGACATTCCCAGGGTCTGCTGTTCTATGGAACTGATGCTCACACTTACTGCTGAGTCAGAACAATGGGAAAGGCAGAACACTGGGAAGGAATTATTATCCTGGAGCTTTTATAAACCTGAGAACAGAGCAGTTAATTTAACTCCTTCTTGACCTGGACACTCTGAGAAAAGACCTGCAGAAACTCTCAACAGCAGGCACAGGTCAAGAGCAGCACAGGATAAAAGAGGTCATGAGGTTTTGGCTTTGTATTAGCATGGAGTGTAAAAAGGATCTTAAACCAGATCTGATGCTAAATCAAAGCTCTGGAGGACAAAGAAACCAGAGGAAGGAAGCCTTGGCAGGAACTACACCAAGATTCACCCCACTCTTGCTCCACAGGAGTTGCCAGCAGTGGCAACTCAGTTTATAGCCAGTATTCACCCTGTTGTACCATTAAGCTTTTCTTTTGCTAGTTCTAATCTGCAGGGCTTGGCACCTCCAATTCTTCTAACAGGCCCTCACTGCAGTGAGGCATCTTAAAATCAATTCAGAAGAAATTTATCCACAAATAAAACATCCTGGAAACACAATTGACCATTTCTTACAAATACTTCCACAATCTTTTCTTCCTTCTGCAGAAGAGAACAAGCCACTGTGTCAGATGCTTGTGCTTGCAAGTAAAAATGCTGTGCAAAATTAGGTAGTTAAACCAGCCTGACCTGGAACAGGAATGAATCCTGAGGTTTTCCCATTGATTTCCAAAGTTCACTTAGCTTGGAATAGACAAAAAAACCCCCACAAGTGGCTGATTACATCCTGGCTCTCCTGCATGATCTTCTTACTAAATACAGTGTTTTAAGGGGCTTTTTGCTGGTGTTCTGAGTATCACAAAGCGATGCCTGTCCACACTCAAAGCCCAAAAGCACCAAAAAAGCAAAGTGCATTACTACTGAGTATTAAGTAGAAAACTTTCACATCAACCATGCTGACTCTCAGAATGCAATAGGGTTGTCCACAGGGACCCAAACCAAGGTTTGGGAGTACCTCAAATTACCATTTCCATTTCCCTTTTCACTGCTAAGGAGGAGTTCTGCCCCGAAGCAACGTGGTTCTCCAAATCATAAGATAGGAGGAACTGGGTAGCTAATAAGACTATTGAAGGGTTTCCATCATCTACCATTTCACCAATGAAAATGGCTTCATGGATTATGGGACAACTATAAAACTGGTAAAATAAAGATGTAAATATACATGGTTTTGTCTTAGATGACTTAATATTTTAAGGACTAATGCATCAAATGACCTTTGTCTGTGAGTATTTAAAGCACAAACCCTGACTAGTTTTTGAAAGTCAGCCCTATTCAGGTACCTGCTCTATGGTCCTGTAACAAAAAAGACCTTCTCTACCTTAAAGTATCATGGTGAAAGACTTGCAGGAGCTACTATATACTCCTCCATACTCTCTGTATGACAGCCAGCACTCAGCAGGTGGAAGATGAACTCCCTTCCTAAGGCTTAGAGCAACATCAAATCCCAACAGCCAAAAATCTACCTGGACCATTAGTAAATAATCATTTCAATGAGCTGATCTATGTTGCATTGTGCCTTCCAATGATCTTCGTCTCTATCTGGTGTAATTAACAATCAATCATTCTGAGGGCTCCAGCATCTGTTACTACATAAATAAAACACTGGCAAAGGAGCTTGTCAGGACTGATTTATACGAAGTGCTGCTCTGAAGTTTATTGCATTTCCATAATAAGAAATCATACCATATCCCATTCTTGACATTGCTCTTCTGGGTTGTGTATGATAATTTCTAAACAAAAACACAACTTAGTGCAGGGTAAGATTCTCATAATTAAGCAGATAAATCTCAGGGTTTAGGTGGATGGTGAACTAAAAGATAAGAAGAGTCCCACTTTGTCAGGAGAACACGTTATCTAAACTGGTTTAAGTTAATCAAAAAGTAGGCTCTTGGAAATAAAATTCCTTAAAATATCCCATCTGACAGAACTATTATTCATAACACAACACTTTGCTAGAAAAACTCAAAGTGAGCAGGGAAAGTATCACCACTGGTTTCTAAACCTGCTCTGAACAGTGTCAGTACTCAGGAGATTTCTGCAGCATGAATAAATCAGGCACCACAGAAGCCTGTGGAGCTTTCAAAAGTCATTAAGGTCAAACTTTGCAGACTGGAGTGTGTTGGAAGTACAACAGCCACATTCAGACTGAGCAGTGAATGGGAACTAGGCTGTGCCAATAAAGGGTTGAAAACCAGCCTGGTGAGGAACAGAGGACTTTCACCGCAACACCTACAGAAGAGAAACGCTGAAGTTCATTAGATGATTACACCACAACCACAGGATAAGTCTTACTGCTGTACATTACAACGGCATAGTGAGGGGAAGGGGAAGTCAGGACAGCAGCAGTTACAATTATTACACATAGACAAACAAGATTAAGAGGATAAATTAAGAGTTCGTAGAGTGCTTTTATTTCGGAAGTGTGAAACCCTTCCCCAATCAGGAAATGAATCTGCTGAAATAGATGTGCACTAGAAATACGTAAGAGAAAAGAATCAGAACAGAAACAAGATCATTTGGACTAATCTAAGCCTCAGAAGAAAGAAGTCCACAAGTGCAACTGCAGGCTCCTTGGAATCCCAAGTGATTAAAAGGGTGTATTAAAGTAGATAGTGAACTTAAATGAATTTTCTGCATTAGTCTATTATTATAGATGACAAAGGGAAAGAAATTCCAATTCCAAAAGCTCTTTGATGATTACTGGCCTTAACAGAGATTTGAGACTCTAAGAAGGATGTTATGGAACAACTTAGAAAGCTCTAGAGTGGTAAGCCACCAGAATCAGACAGCATCCACCCCAGAGAAAGGAAGGAAATAAGGTGTCAAACAGGTAAGAAACAGGATGTGCAATACAGACTTAACTTCAATTCTTACCCAACAGTAAGTCTTTAACACACTGGCTGTCTTTAGGGAAGGAACCAAAAGACTAAGATTTACACATTCACCTCAGGAAGCAGTGAAGACACACAAAGGTCAGCTTAGTCACTACCACCCACAATTCTCCAAAAGCTGAAAATGGGGTTCTGGGGAAGCAAACAACTATAGATTTCACTATGTCACCAAAAAAATATGGAATGACAGACAAGTTTCTTCAGCTTAACCTTAAAAAAACCATTTCATGTATGATGATTTACTGATGAGAGTGCCCCTCACCCTCCCCTAAACAGTTAGTTGTTGTGGCTGCACTGAAACTGTGTAAGCATCTCAACATACACTCACAACTATGTAAGTACTCAGTAAGGCTTTATTTACACACATTGTGTTTATGCAAGAGAACATTTGGATACATGCATCCAAATATAAACAAGCAAGACTGGATTATGAGAGGGACAAATTCCAGGCAGTCATTGCCACATACATGACACTACTCAGCCGATGGCATTATGAATCTTTCTTCTGGGAAGTAACTATTGTTTTCCTACAGCTAGAAGCTAGCTGGACTGACCGAAAGACAATGAGTAACAATTCCAGCTCGCGTACTTGACCTGAGCAGCTTCCCATACAGAACATTCACCACAGGTCATCATAAAGGTACCACCCAAAAGTTTATCCCTGAAGTTCTGCAGGTGACTTTTGAAAACCAGTTGGCGTTTGAAAGGAAGTTACGATATCCTAATACACATCATACACGCATTGTGATCCCTAAATCTATTTCACCTGCTAAATATTTTATGCACTACATGCTTTAAGTAGTCCAGAAATAAATGGGAAGCCTGTTCTTCCATACAGTCATTCTATATACTTACTGTGTTGAGTGCGTTAAGTGTAGTGTCATCACGGGAGGCTGCAACACAACCATCTTCTGTGGATCCTCCATCACACATGCCTGCAAAAGCTGCCATGCTCCTTTATAGTTTGAGGGGAAAAAAGTTTCAATTCTTCAGCCACTGTTTGATGCACACATCATGCAACACACAAATAGTAGATTTACACCTTAAATCACGTATTTCAGGGCCTTATGATAATGTGGAACCAACTAAAAGGTGGCACCACGAACAGTTCTTATGCAAAGCTGAGTCACCCCAGCATATGGAGAAATTAATTCAAAATTAAAATCAATCTAAGTGGATTTCATCCAATAAAAGTCTGCACTGCAGCAGTACCAAAGCCTGATCAGAACCTCCACACATGAGGACAGACTCAGAGACAACAAACTTTTTGTTGTAATCTTAGTTTATGTTAGAAAACTGCAGAATCCCCACATCTCTCAATTCGTGCAAATTACAAGTAGTTTACTCATACTTTCAGTTATGATGAGGCCCACCAGTGCATCTGATTAATCCACCAGCTACAGCAAACAGCTACTCCAAATCAGAAAGGAGTGACTGTGGCCACTGCACATACACAGTGGTCCACGTTTCCACTACAGCATTCTAAGGACTTTGTAGGATCTTGGCTGGAATTACCTTGCTGCCCTAAGGTACATGAGTAAGTCACAGTCATTGACTCCTGGCATCCACACAAGTTCTTCATGCTGTGTCACTGTGTCACCATCTGGGGAAGGAAATGGCTGCAGATCAGGAAGCTTAGCCTGGAAGAAGAATAATGAAGAGTTCATACAGACATTACTTGTTACAAACGTTAGGAGGATGCACAAGTGGCATCAGTAAAGTCTGTAAAGTCTCTCCACAGGGAGTGGAGCTATTTGATCCAAGTTTCAGAAGTTTGATGGGTCATCTATTCACTTTATGCAGCATTCCTCCTTTTAGAAGGGCAGTTCATTTTCTGACAATAGTGAGGGTTAACACCGCCTCTCAGCCCACCACCACTGAAACCCTTCTACATACAGACCAAGTGCAAGTGTGCCTGCAGAAATGCTACAGTTTGAAAGGAAACCATTTTGCAGTGCATAGGTAGTCCTCTACTGTATAGAAATCCAACAATTTACCCTCAAAGAGACAGCTTTCACTTGTCAAAAAGATGCTGCTACAACTCCTCCTTCCCAGGCTGAAGCATACTCCTATAACATCCTAATATGAAAGAAGGCAAGAATGTGACTACCACCTGTGTACCCTTTTAAATCAGTTTAAAACCCTACACATGTGACACCAAGTTTAAAATTAACTCCTCAGCAAATCATTAAAACTCTAAAGAGAAACAAAGACATTTCCTGAAAGTGAGATAGCTCAGTGAAATGAACTCTGCCACTAAGTATTCCACTGTATCCAGAGACCCAATTAGCATCTTTAGTCATTTCCTGCTAGGGGATGAGATAGCTGAGAGCCTCTTCAGAAACAGCTTTTAAGCCCTGTAATTACCTCCTATACTTACAACGCTAAACATATGAGAGGCAACATTTACACATAACCAGTAATTACAAGTCACAGGTTCAGATGTCTTTCATGTTCTGCTCTTTAATCTGTACTTTATTTTACTCCTTGCCTGGGAAAATGGGGATGTCATTGAACTTCTCTTCTGGAGAAGGATAAGCAAGCATTATACCAAGATGAGACTTCTATGAGCTATGCATTCTAGTGACTGGGCTGCTTTCAGAGATGAATGTTCACCCTTGTGTACCTGAGGAACATGCTGAATTAGTACAGTTACTCCCAAGAACAACTTCTTTTCAACACCTCTGGTCGTTAATTTGTTAGCCAAAAGTCTTCACTGGAGAACATTTAGTACAGACGGAATCTCCTCCTCTAATGCATGTGATTTTTAACTGCAGTTCTGCACAATATATACCTTCACCCTTGTATCCCTACTTTCTATTATGAAACAAGCAGTAGTTTGAGGTATCTGTGGACTAAGTATTAAAACAACCCTAACAGTCCTGTAGCATCTATAACACACACAACTTAAGGAAAATGAAGGCAACAGATACTCATCAAAACCACTACTGGGATCTCAGGGTTGTTTCTGGATTCTGCCACAGACACCTTATCCCCAGTAAGGTGGGTGGAAGAAATTGGACCTGTTCCCTGAATCAGACTACACAATGGAAAGCAGCAACATCATCCTCAACCTGACTTCCTACCACAGCCTACAATCACCATGCATGTATCTGCAGATTATACCATACACTAATGAATATGTCCTTTTAGCAATGGCATTTGTCTGAAACAGAGAAGCTCAGCAAAAGAGTGGAAGAACAGTGGAAGCTAAAGATACAAAGCAAGCAAAAGTTAACAGTATTCTATATCAGTGGACCTTCTTCCTACTTTTTCCATCCATAAATCACCTGGTGATTAACCCTACAGCACAGGTGACTAATACCTGCCAAAATGTTAGAAGACAATTTGAGATGAAAGTTGTTTTGAAGGTATCATTTACACTACTCTTATGAGGACTAGTGAAAAGAATACTACAGGTTTAATTGCCAAGGGCTTCTTTTTCCTCTAAATGCAAAACATCCTGAAGAATGTTACATAGGTTTCATGAATATTTGCTTACACTAGTTATTAAACAAGATTTTAAGAGTCTGAATGAACGTTCATCACTGGGATGCAAAAGCCACCACCTGGATGGGACAGAGGCCATTCCACAGGGAAAGGAGAACACTCGGTTCCTAGTGATGGATCTGGCCTTATAAACCAGAGTTGTATGTTAATGCTCTTCAGAACTGATTATTTTCAATGCCATGAAGGATTTCCCTCAAATTAGAACTAACATACCAGGAACAACCCAACATCTAGAGTCTTAACCTTATTCTGCTTCCCAGGATCTGAACATATTCACATGCTTTCTCAGTTTCTATTTTAACAATCCAAATGACTTAAGGCACTGGTCTTTAAGTAAAGTACCTGTTCTTATTGCTTCTCATAGTCAAATGAACAACACAACTGAGGTCTCCCTATCTTTAAAATCAAACGTCATCCTCTCTACAACATCAGAAAGTGAAAAGAAGGCCTGCATAAAAAGCTTCCTGGGAAAAACAAGTAAGATACTATAATGTGACTTCTGTAGACTGTAGACAAAAGAGTTACTTCAATAATCATCCAGAATTACCACACCTCCTAGTTAAAGAGAATTTAAACTGCTCTGTATGAAAGTTATGCAGGTAAGAGGTAACTAACCTGGCTTAAATGGCAGGGAGAGAGCAAGCTGGTGATGGTGACACATGACAAACACAAGAGAGGCTCTTTAGAAAAAGCTCTATCAACAGCTGCCCAAACTGCTCCAATTTAAATACTAATTTCACTTCTCAGACAACTGTTGAATCACTACACACACAATAGCCCCCCTGATGTTTCTGCTGCAGTACCACAGTTGGCCAAAGCCATTTAACATAACAAAAAGAGAACATGTGCAGGCTGCAAGTGTAAACACAAGTCAGTGTGGAAACGCAAAGCCACAGACATGACACCAGGCAGAGCATGTTCAGAGCCAAAAGGGAGAGCAAGGTTACACTGAATTCTGCATTAATGCCAACTACATTAACAGATATGCTTAAAAACACTGTGCCCTGTGCTGTAAGATGAATACAGATATAAACACCTATTTATATCTCAACAGGAAACAAACCTCTCCCAGGTTTAAAGTTCCTCCATCCTTTTAATTCTGGAATGTTGCTCTTGGAAAAACCCTGACTTTTCTGAAATCAATTCTAATAGAAGTCAATTTTCTTTAAACACACAGAGTGATGAAAAGGACTGTTATACCATGTATATGTATATATATATACAAGGTATATGTATATGTCACATTGATGGTATGTACAACAATTTGACTATGCAAATTCAAAGATCTACTTTCAGTATAACTGGAAAACACCACTGAATTAATTCTATAGTTTATTAAAAGCATTGCTTGGTGAAAGGAGGTGACAGATTATTTCAACTCCAGAATGTGCCACATAATAGCCGAGATTTTTCCTTCCTTTCCAGTAGGTACTCGTATCCCTTCAATATACTCCAGAATTAACCAACAGCCCCGCTGCTAGTAAAAATCATTAACATACCAACACTTGGCATAGGAAATTCTCATTAAGTGAGCTAAGGAATTCTAAGAACTCATGATGAATGGAAACAAGTCGTTATATTTGAATGCATGCAGTTTAAGTGTCATCTGAACTGATCAAGTGGCAAAAACATGCTCTCCGCGTATCTGAACACAAACAAAATCCCTTACCTGATGGCTGGGTCCAACTCTGATTTCACCTTGGGTACTGTTTAGCCTCCTAATATATAAAGAAAAAAACACAGTAATGAGAACGGATCCTGCTACAGGTTGATACACAGGAAACACCATGATCCTCATGAGCATCTTTTGGGTCAGTTTCATTCTGAAAGAGAAAATATCTTTAACAAAAATATTTGGGGTATTAATCTTTGATGAACAGAGCTTTGCATTACCAGGATTGGCAAAACTAATTAGAATCACAGAATGGTTGGGTTGGAAAGGACCTTAAAGCTCCTCCAGTCCCAACCCCTGCCACAGGCAGGGACACCTTCCACTAGAA